AACACTAAACACATCAACATTTTAGTATGGTAAATGTGATCGCAAACATGTGCAAAACTAAGCAAAATAAAGAAAAATTGTATGACCCATACCTGCTGTCATTAAGAACACAAATAATGCAGTAGTCAAGTAATATAAGAAAATAAATAATAAACACAAATGTCATACATCTATATAATAAACAAAAATGAAACCACATCTTTAAACATCCATGTCAGTTTTTGCTTTTGAACCAAGACTATCAATCATCTCTGTGTTAGCTACTGGTAAATAACAAAATAATATTATAAATTCTAGATTTATTTTGAACCAAAGTAGAAACAATATTAAAATAAAAATATATTTTGGAGTATGAATAGTACTTTTGAAATATGTATGAAAACCCTGTCCTGATACCTGTCTGGTTTCTCAACAACAACATGTGATCCAGTCATGTGATTTAACCTCCATCTTTCTGTGGTTAGTTCTCTGAGACTCTGTTACAAATTATGTCAAAAGTAGAGACTTCAAACTATACACCAGTTTTTAAAGACTGTTCCACTTCAAGAATAATAGTCATAATTTCTCCTTACCTGAGGAAAGTCTGCATTATGATCCCTGCTGCTGTAGGCTATCTGGTCTGTCTCCTCCCTGACCTTGTTCTTTGTAACTGTGGCAATGAAGATTTATTTTAAATATGTGGYAAGCAGCCAGCATGACTTCTGCACAGAAATGAAAGATGACTGGGTTTAGCTTGGCAAGGGATGTAACAGGTAACAACTAATCATGTTAACTAGCTAAACATTATATACTGTGTAACTCATCATTTAACTAACATTATCTGCCTCCAGCAGCATGACTCAACTTACATGGTTTGTTTGGTAAAAACTGTGTGAAGTTTTAGTTGCTCTTTACACCGCGAGGCTCTGCTCAGCACAGCAGCTCCTATCAGTCATCTCACCTGCAGGAGTAGCTTGAGCACGCTTATGGTGCGTTCAAAGACGGCTCAGAAAAACGCATTACCATATGTTAATAATGGATAAAACAGCTGTTACAGGTGAGAAAAGTGCGGGGACAGAGAGCGCAGGTGCAGGAAGTGCTGGGGGGACATGTCCACGCATATCTCACATCCGTTGTGTCCGTGCCTTCACTGCCCAAGGCCCTTTGGAGACCGTGGGCCCCTGGGCAATTGCCCAATTGCCCATATGGTTAATCCGGCCTTGCCCATGATATCAATAACATCTCAATATAGTAGTTTGATAATAAATACATATTTCTGTTTATATGAACACAACCTTTTTTGAATTAGTTTGTATCTGCTGCTTCTTATCTGCCCAAACCCTCATTGAAACTGCGTCAGCTCACCCACAGACCAAACTAAACAAGATATAACTTAACGCCAACCATTGCTAATGTCCTTCGTCGCCATTCAGTAGTGACTGTAAGCATTTTTGCTGAAATTATCACAGACCTTCATTAGTTAAATAATCTCATAAGATGAACAGATGGATGGACGGGGGGGCTAAAATGATATCATCAAACTCACACATTAATGTGTTTACCTAGTTTCCCTAATGATGCACACAAAATTTGGTTTAGATTGGAACATGTATATGTGATTTAAAGCCAACCATAGTGGATTGCGTTCAGATTGGCGGAAATACGTATGAAATACAAGCTAAATTTATGTCAATTGCGTGATGTCTAATTAGGCCACACACCCCAAAACTGGACTGCATTCCTGTAGTGGGGTGGGTTAGGATCGACCATAGTGAATTGGGAGCAAATAAGCTGAAATATATAAAATTTAGAGCCAAATGTATGTCAACTGTGTGATGTTTTACTTCATCAGTTTTTTTTTTTCTGATTAGGTCAAGAGGGTCAGAGATGGAGCTTTCCAAGCCAAAAAAGATCATGTCCTGTTGTAATGGGGCAGGGCTTTGATAATGTCATATGACCACATGGTAAATGGTCGGGCATGTAACTTGTATGATTCATACCAAGTTTGGTGTATTTTAGCCTTTCCATGTGAAAGTTACGCCTCCTCAAAGGGAGCCAATAAACCAAAATTCATCTCTAGAAAAATAAATCATAAAACTCTTATGAAAATAAATACAGTTACTTTAGATGTGGATTGTTGAACATTAGATCTCTTTCATCTAAGTCTCTGTTAGTTAATGATCTGATAACTGATCATCGTATTGATGCATTCTCTCTTACAGAAACCTGGTTACAACAGGAGGATTTGTTAGTATAAATGAAACCAATCCTGCCAATCATATATACCACTCAAAAACATAAAGGGAACACTTACAACAGGTCAAAGTAGAGGAGTGGCTGTTGTTTATCAGCCAGAATTATTGAATAATACTAAGCTAAATATCAGTTACAATTCTTTTGAGTTTTTTTTCCCTCAGTCTGTCTTATCCAAAATGGAAATCAGAAAAACCTCTGTTACTTGTTATGTTATTTATCATTCACCAGGTTACTATTCTCGGTTTTTATCTGACTGCTCTCATTTTTTTATCTGACTTATTATTGAGCACTGATATTCAATTATGTCACTGCATTTTAATTGCACTACCCCAATTGCACTGTATTGCATTGTATTGATGTACATATGTTTTTGTATTTTTAATTTTTTTATCCTTTATATTTTATCTGCCCCTTTATCCTGAAACAAATTCCTAGTCAGTGAATCCTCTTCATTGACAATGGTAATAATAAAACTGATTCTAATGAAGTTATAATCATACATGTCAACTTGTACGGATTGTCCATAAATTATAAGGATTTTACATCATTTTGCAGGTATACGGATGTAAGAGCAATCTCATGGATTTTTTCAAGTCTTACGGATTTCTTCAAAACCTCATTTTTAAATTTATTTAACATGTCAGAGCCTGTAGGATGGTTAAAAAAACAATAAATATCAAACAGCCATCTTCCAACCTGTTCTGCGCCTAGAAATAAGTTTAGAAGTTTTACTGCTCTCCTCCTGCCTAGCAACGGGTGCTTTCGTGTCCACTGCCGAACCCCCCCCCCCCCCCCAGGTGCAAGTTGTATGGATTTTTAGCAAAATTCATGGATTTTTGAGGCTCTTTATACAGGTAAACGTCAGGAGTGGTTGATATGTATGTACAGTATAATAATGGGGGATTTTAATATTCATGTAGATGTCGACAGTGATAGCTTAAACATAGCCTTTAATATTTTGAAGTATCTGTAAGAAAATTAGTGTTCTATTACTGAAATCGTGTCTTAACCAGGCAGAAACTACATGAATGTTAAAATGATTAAAATGTGAAGAGTATAGACTATTCAACCAAACCAGTACTGGTTCTGAATAGCGCTTTAATGCTTCAAGTTGCAGAGTTAGCAGCGCTCAGAGAGACCTCCGTAAATACAATAAGTTTTTTTATTCTCTTCAGCATCCGGTTCAGCCCACCACATTCCTGTGGCTGAAAGTAGATACTCAGACAGCATAAACCTTCCTAATGTTTAATTCAGCAGTATCTACAGTATGTGTTGTCATGGTGCTCCAGGCATGTAACTAAAACTATTTTAATCAATACATAACAATAATCATACAATAAAAAAACAGACAGAGGTGGAGGCCTCCGTTTTCAGRTGTCCCCCTCCTACAGCGCGGCCATTGTCAGTATCACTCCACCCCCTGTTAACAATAAGTGTTAATTAGGTGTCAAC